AAAAACTACTGCCACGAAACACACGTGATTCTCTGCTAAATGTCTGCGATCCCATTTCTCGCCACCAATTGGTTGACGACAGCCCATTGACACATTCACTCCGTAACCGACACCAATTGGGCAAATTGTGCATTGCGGCCTTGACACTACTTGGCATTCACTTCGGTTAAGTTCTCTTTTCTTCCAAATCTAACTGGATCAACAAACATGTCACCTTGGTGTCCAAAGCCAACACTTTCCTCAACGTGTCGTCACAGCAGGCATAAAACCCTTCCGTCCATGGACTACTGCCGACTTCATAGAACACACACACACACACACACACACAGATCTCCCAGTTCAGGGGACCGCTTGAACGGAACCCACGTTTTAAACCACACATAAACTAACATCTGCCAAGCACTTGTTAGGTACAAACAAAGTGAAAGATATCACAAAGTTTAGAATAACCCCAACTACTGAAGCGATTCATCACCTTAAAATTCAGGGGTTTGCGTGAGCACAGCATGGACACACGGCGCCCAGGCGTCTGCACGTTCTCCAGCAAAACGTCGAAATGATGCGACAACTACAGACTTTATTGGAAACCAAAGTTAAAGGAATCAATTTCTAACTGAAACAAACTTTCGCAACCAAAACAACGCTCAGTCCTCATTGAACGGGTACTCCGGATGGTCCTTTAGACTAAAATGAAAAACAAACAGCGATGGATTTCGGCCAGCAAAATAGCATTCTCCGTGATCATGAATCAAACTAACCAAACCACCGATGGTACGCAGCATGTACCGCAAGAAAACAGACACGGAGAGAAATAACACATTTGATCAATTTAACCAGACAGGCGATTCTTCGCCCTGCATAATTCTAGATTACCACCACATTGGTCTCTTCCTCTTAAAACGCATTATTTTTTGTGCTCAAAAAATAGGAAACCACTTAATTCACATTTTCTGAAATCAAATCATCCAATTTTAAATGAAACACTTACGCTAGGTAATTGAAGAGACGAAGGTTGCCACCCTTCGTGTTCAGTGTCTGCATCTCAGCCTCACTTAGTTCAAAATCAAATATCTACAGAAAATAGTACATTTAGATTAGTAATCAAACAGGCAACACTACAGCACATAAACCAAATGCGTGGATAATCTCATCTCGTAGGCTCTCCCCAATCAGGGTGCCACAGAGAATTCCAGTTAATTAAATGGCAACTGGGTCTATAATCAATGCAATGCATCAACGCAGGCGATCCCACAACGATGACGAATGGTACCACCGTGGGACCGGGCAATTTCAGAGGGAAGTCAATGTGAAAAAGTCTTCATCAGCCTTGACTCACATCGAAATTCGACTTGATGGCTGCTGGTGTGACACCTCTGGACAAAACCACGAGTCCCCGCTGTAAGGCGTGACGAAGCAGCACTTGCGCCGCGGTCTTATTGTGGGCAGCTGCGATCTCCTTCACAAATGGCTCCTCTAAACGCGGAGTCATCGTCTTCCTACAAGCACCGCAACAAACTAATGTCCAGAAATGAATAACACTTTGGCCAATCAGCTAACAACAGAACATGACACAACTGCCTAGAGGATAATGCCACAAGCAAAAACATCCCACCTCTGCCGAAATTGCTGCACAACTTTGCGTACAACCAACTGCATATTTGCTGACTGTATCTGCTGAATGGACAATGCACTAGCCTTTAGGCATTGTTACCGGATAGGAATTAGCATTTACGAACCCTGCACGTGCAAAAGCAAAATTGGGCTAAAGTAAAACAACTAGTGTACGCCGTGTTCTCTTCTCGTGCAAGCCTAGCATAGATCGCGTCACGTGCATAATACCTTCGATTGCACGCGCCGACATCAATACGCTCAAAAAATATCACTGAACGCAAAATTATTTTAAATAAGCCTTCTACAAATGTGGCTGTTGGCTACGACAAATCCACACCGGTGAATTTAGTACTTTTTCTGGGAGGTAAAATAAAATTACATACGGACAATAATCGCCTGTTCCATTTTCGTATAAAAAATGCACCTATTAGCTTTTAACAGTTTAGATCTAGAAAAGCGTTTGTTATCTTTGAAAAGATCTATTCAGCAATTCTACATAGAATGTGAGGAAATACACTAAGGCAAAGACACTGTGTTTGGTTCGTCGTTATTAAAATTTTATAAATTTATGCACTTTACGCTGTAGAAAGTGTGCAAAAACAAGCCTGGTGCATGTTTTTTCCGAAAAAAAAATCAGAAAATCTTGACTTAACTAAGACGGGCAAAAAATAGGAGGTAATAATTGCTCTCGCGCATGGGGACAGGTATATTACTAACAAACATGTACGGGCTCTTACAGGTTAGAAGCAAGGTAAACTTGTGCATACATTGAATAAAAGTCGAATACAAACACAAAAACTAAAAGGATAACGTAAAAACCACAAGTTGTGCTATAACATCAGCTTTCAAATCCACGAGGTTGCAAACGTACACACAGTCAGCAGAAGACGCTCTCGAGCCAAATGCCTCAACCTGAATGCCTTTACTGTGGCAATATTCAATTAATTTCGTGTTCAATAAATCAACGGAGACCTCAATCTGGTTAACTGCCGGCATAATTGAGGCAACGCTGATAATGCGATCAAGCTGTTTCGTGTTGAAATTACTCACGCCAATAGACTTAACAAGCCCTTCAGCAACTAAACACTCCATAGCCTAGAAAAGAAGATGCGAAATAATAGTCGCAAAACCTACCTTCCACGTTTCTTCTAGTGATTGACATTCATATTCAACGGTACATGGATCGCAAACATCATAATTCTTGCCTGGCTTTTCGTGGAACGCGGCAGGAAAGTGAATGAGGTATAGGTCAAGGTAGTTTAGTCCGAGGTGCTTTAAAGAAAGCTCACAAGCTGATCGCACGTCTTTTGGTGCGTGATTATTAGACCAAAGCTAGATAAACAGAACAATACTCCAACAAAACAGTTGCACACCTTTGACGTGATAAATAAATCTTCACGAGCGAGACATTGTGATGACAAGCTTTTCGATATCGCAGCTCCAACCTCTTCTTCGTTATTGTATGACATTGCACAGTCAATGTGCCGAAAGCCTACTTCAATCGCGCATTGCACAGCTTCTCCAACATCATTTCTAGAAAACTACCGACAGCATAAGTCTACTAAGCGAAAGTTCTTACCCCAAATGTACCGAATCCAATCGCGGGGATGTTAAAGCCACTATTTAAAGCGATTGAAGGCACGCAAGACATGTCTTTTTGCATAAAAAGGAAAGCGCAAATACACCAACATCTGCACAATTTATATAACAGCGGAGTTGATTTAACCGTCAAGGCCCTTTTATTGCAGGAAAGATAAACAAAATACGGTTGTCTACGTGCGGACTGCCAATTCAATTCAAGTGCATATTTTTCATAATAATGTTAGCCCATTATCGAGCAGGCCTTTTTCGGACACTGCTTGTATTTGTGATCTGATTTCCTCATATTTCATCGCACCTAAATTCCGCCTGTTATTTCTTGCTTCCCGATAAATGATGAACCTGGAAATTTAAGTGGGATGAAAACATTGTACTGCTAAAAGCATACTGACATGCTAGGCTACTTTGCGTGATGCAAGGTCGTTTGTTTGTCTATTAAAATATACCATATCTTATAGAACAAGCCTCATTTAGTGAGGCATTTCACCAAATGAAATTTTGGGCGTTTGCATGCCCACGGCATGAACACCCAACGCTCAGGCACACGCAAGTATTTTTAGCAAAATTTAAACTGACGGGAATATTTTAGATTGTTATGGAATTCAAAGTTAAGGGAATAAATTTTTATACAGAAACAATATTTTTTTACAAAAATGGGCTTTAACGCTTGCTAAATGGTCGTTCCAGGTGGTCCGTCTGACTAAATAGAAAGAACAGCTATAGATTCGAAAAAACGAAATTTCATTTCATTCATTCATCAAAAAAATAGCAAGCCACGAGACGTAAATTGTACCACTAGAAAGAAGGCACCCTAAGATGTGCGTGACTAAAAGTCAATGGGCCGTCGTCAACCAATTGGTGGCGAGAAATGGGATCGCAGACATTTAGCAGAGAATCACGTGTGTTTCGTGGCAGTAGTTTTTGGTATTCGCGTGAGTGTCAGTGAAGATAAACCAATGAAATCGAACTCAGGATTTTGTGCCCCCCAGTGGCAGAGTCATTTTCTTGTCGGAGCAATTGCACGCCCCTTGTAATAAAGGCTGATAGCTTCATGTGGACTAGGTGGCGAGGTAGCATGATCAATTGGGTGGTGAACGGACACTGATCTGATTTACTCAAATTTCACCCCACCTAAAGTCCGCCTGTTATTCCTTGCTTCTCGATGTAAGATGAACCTGTGAATTTCGCTTATATGAAACCATTGTGCTGCTAATAGCATATTGACTTTCCAGATCACTTTGTGCGTACTCAACCATTCAAAACCCATCGTGAGCGTCAGAGTCTTTGCGGTATATGCCACAGTTGGAACCGTCTAAATTTTTGCAAAATTAGATGTGGCACTTTCGTAGATTCTAAGCATCGGTGCATTTCAACCGATTAACTGTACGTAGAAATGTCACACCATATTGGCTTGAGTCGGGAACACCAAAGTCAGCACGGGCTGTTTTGTTGGGTGGACGCGTTCGTAACCACGCGTGCCATTGGAAGCCAACACTACTTACAGCGACAGATGGAACGAACAAGTAAGCAAACTATTTCCTCAGATGCGTTTATTCGTGCGTTTTGGTTCTTTTTATTGACGTAAAACTTTTGCTAAGAAAGCGGAAGAAATGGGATCTTAGATAATGGGCACCAATGTGGGCTACAATAAATCTATTTTCAGGTCTGTGAGTAAACTCTAACTCTCCCATAGTCGAGCTTCCTACCGAATGCTAAGTTAGGATAACATATGTCGTGGAGCACAGTAAAAGACAATGAGTCTCTTTCCAAATGCCTGACGCGACAGTTCCATCTGCCTCACACAGATGGAAGCATTTTAGAAAAAACCACCACTAGGATCAAACATCCGAGCATCGATGATTTGCACCAAGCGAAGCTGGCAGAAGTCAACGACGAGCAGCCGAAGTGGGTTCGCTTTCATGAACTTACGGCGTTGGAACGCGGGTACAAGGCGTGGCCACGACGGTGTGCAGTTGGAATGACAGAGGTTGGTGGGGATTTTCAAGTGGCGTTTATGGTGCATCGGTGTGAATGTGCGCAGTGCAGGGACAGCGTTTTTTGCAGAATGTTTTTTTACCTGGCATCGCTGACTTCGTGCACATTCAAACTCAACTTGATAAATTGCAGAATGCTTTGGACAGTCGAACTTGTCAAAATCGACGGAATTGAACGTGCGGAGTCAGTAGAGAGGGATCAATTGAAGACTGCGTCTCACAATTTCAGCAACGGTCACCGCACTTAATCAGTCAAAACCTCCTTGAAGCAGAGAACGCGTTTGCTTGGCACTTCGTCATAAAAGTACACTTTACAATCAAATGAAGTGATCACCGGTGTCATTGAAGTGCACTTTAATGAACGTCGCAGGTGTTCTCAAGTGTCGCTCGTCAAGTGTGCTGTGGTAGCACAGTCGTTGAGGCCGAAGTACCTGTTCCTAGGTGGGCTAAATTTGCATGCGTTAGCATTCCCTAATGCAGCCAATGATGTCAAGAGGCGTTTCAGTACGGCAAAGTACTGCTGTGTGTGTGTGTGAGGGCTTATTGAACCATTAATGGACATTTACAGGGCAGGTAAGCGTTGTGTAAGGTGTAGTAGGGCGTATTCATTCGAATTCGTGTGATTGGCATGCAGTTTGATGCGATGTGCACAAAGTTTGTGGTTCACGCAGGTAGGTATGCAAATCCGGATGGAAGAAGTTGAGTGGTGCAGAATTGGAATGGACCAATGTGTGACCGGATTCGTAAAGCGCATGGTGGGTGGTTGGGCGTAACATGCAGAAGCACGCTTTGAGAACGACCCAATGCGGGAAGAGACCGAAATAGCTGGCAACGTTTGCGGCTCACTTTGTCAGCATTGGCGCTCATTCGCTAATTGCGATCTCAACGCCCGCATGGGATTTAGAGGGCGCAGACAAAGACGGACGCGGTGGTTTATGCGTGAAACCTTGAACAATGATTTTAGGTTCATTAAAGACGCTCGATTCTGTAAGGCTGTTGTGAATTTCCCGGTGGGTTGAGAGATGACAGTGGGAAATGTGGAATTTAACGTGAATTCAATGCATTGTTGACTCTACGTTCTAATTGAGAAAGATGTGATTGTGTTCTTCTACTCGTATACAATCAGTAGAGCAGGAATTAACTGTGGTAACTTTGGCCTACAAACTCCCGCTTTTCAGTCAGTTCATGTGTAGTTTTACAATGCGTGTAGAAGTGCCTTTACCACACTCGCATGAAGAGTTTTGCTGCAATGCTGTAGCGTGGGAGACTTCTGTCAAAATATGCATACGATTATTCCAGTAAATGGCCACTGAAACAACGGGCCTAACTGGATTTCCTTTGACTTTGTCGTTACTGAATCAGAGTAAATGGTGTTCACGCAGTATCAGGCGTGACTGACAGTGCAGATGCGTTGACTTTCTTGCTGGAAATTCGCTCATAATTAATTAACCTGTCAACTATGCGGTGACAGAAATGGAGTTTTCCTACAGGCCTTTTGCTATTCGAGGGCGTTTACAGCTGATTATGAAGTCTTATCAAATCTGCCTTTTGCGCCGGTGAATGTCCGAATGGGTGTTTTCGCTGGGCTAATTCCTTGGCACTGTAGCAGCCAGATGCGACAGAGAGTACTCAGATGACAATGCGGCAGCGGAGTCGATGGAGGCTTACATCTGCGTCACGTCAGAAGCAGGCGTTCGCGTGCGTACTGCTAGGTCGAAAGCGAAGGCAGCAGGGTGTGTGTGTCATTGACATCCGGTGAAGGATGCAATGCGGGCTCTGATTAGACATGTCTGGATGATTCACGATGATGTTTGGAGTTCTTTGGGTGGACATGGATGTATGGCATCAAGAAGCTCAACACGGAGTCCTTGGAAAGTTGTGTAGACACGTGAAATGGTGGTGTGTGGAATGCAGAGAAGACTCCCTGAGCACATGTGTCATGATGGCAAAGTGTGTAACGTGATCCGAATACTCCGAACTTAAACTTGGAAATGGAAATGGCTGATGCACTGAAAGTAGAATAATTGAGTTTATAAGCACAGTGTGAGAGTAAACCAGGTATGTTGACGCAACTATTCCTGCGGGTAATAGTTGGAACTCCCTGTTTGACAAGTCGAAGTTCTTAAAGAAGACGTTCGAGCGAAGGGCCCTGCTGTCTGAACCCGAGATGTGGAGAATCGTGCTACATGCGAATCCTGCCAGCGGACCAGTCGACTGCGAAGCACCAACGTAGCCTTGAACAAGGACGCAATCTGTGTCTCGTGTCAATGCTGTCTAAATGTGGTGTTGTTGCATTGGGACGTGGCTAAGAGCAGAGTTGTTCTTCGG